TCAGGCGAGGCTGTGGTGGCCGGGAGCGGCCACTGCACTCCAGTCTGGGCGACAGAGTGAGACTCCAACTCAAAAAAAAAAAAAAGAAAATGTTAGATCAACAATTCTTCTGGGGAGTTTGCTCCCCTTCCCTGGTGAGCATGAGAATCACAGTGGGGGCTTTTTCCCCCCCAAATAACACACAATTACCAGACAGTTTTATTCTGAGACCCTAAGGCAGTAATCTTCATATAATACCATTCATGGGAATAAGCAGGGGTGGTTTGTTAAAATGCAGACTCCTGGGTCAGAGCAATTCTGACTCTGTACATCTGGAGTTGACCTCAGGAATTTAAGTTTTAACAGATGATCTTGATGCAAGTGGTCCACAGAATCTGCATGAAGGCAAGCACAAACCCCCAAGATTCTCTCTCATTATTGGAGGACATGAAGAAAGGTGACGTATTCTGCTGGTTGGGAAGCAGTGAACTACATGATCTGTTTCCTTCTAGCTTGGGAATTCTGAGATTCTCAGGAGTGCTTTGCCTCACCCACTCTCACCCCTCTTCTAATTTTTTTTTTTTTTTTTTAGTCAGAGTCTCACTTTGTCACCCAGGCTGGAGTAAAGTGGCACAGTCACAGCCACCACAGCCTCAACCTCCTGGGCTCAGGTGATCCTCCTGCCTCAGCCTGCCAAGTAGCTGGAACCACACGCACTCACCACCACACCCAGCTTGCTTTTTGATTATTGTAGAGACACGGTCTTGCCAAATTGCCAGGGCTGGTCTAAAACTCCTGGACACAAGCAATCCTCTCGCTTCCATTTCCCAAAGTGCTGGGATTACAGGTGTGAGCCACTGTGCCTGGCAATTTTTTAAAAAATTGTATATATGAGGTTTCACCAAGTTGCTTAGGCTGGTCTTGAGCCCTTGGGCTCAAGCAGTACTCTGGCCTCCAGCTCCCGAAGTGTTGGGATTACAGGCATGAACCACCACACCTGGCCCCTCTTCTAATTTTAAGCTCCCCCCTTTCTTCCTCACAGTAATCCCAAGTAGCAACATCAAGTCATCATTTTCACCTCTTGGGATTTTGCTAAAGGAAGCAGCCTATGATTACCATGAGGGCATGTGAATCCTGAACTGCAGATCCATAAATTATTTCCCAAAAAGCCAGAAATCTAAATTTTTCTGTGAAATTTCTCCTTTTTCAGAGAGATCCCTTAAAACACCAAGAACAAGACAGAGGCCAACTGTAGCAAGGGAGAACCAACCACATCACTCCAATAGGATACCCCTTCACACCTAAAGGTTCTAATTCCTGTAAAGTGGATCTCTGGGTGGGTAGTTCATTGTTTTTTACATTGTGTGTGTGTGTGTGTGTGTGTGTGTGTGTGTGTGTGTGTGTGTATGTTGAGTCTTGGGAAGCTTCTGTCTGTAGTGAGGAACTTAGAACATTGGGTAAACTAAGGGTTATCAGTCTGGTCATCAGAAGGATGGGTCGGAGTATTTGGGCTATGTCCCCAAACCTTAATTCTTGCTCAGTTGCTTAGACTCCCAGCAACTGTGGCTGAGGGCTAGACAGAACTGGGATCTTCCAGAAAAGGAACAGGTTTGTCTTGCTGAGGCAGGAAAGAAGTCAGAAAGCCATATGTGTGTATGTATGGTGGCACGGAGGGGTGGGGAGACTAGAATTGGGGGGAAATGGTTACAGTGGGTAGTAAAGTATCTAACTGCACTCGACAAGGGCAAACCAGATGGACTGCTTACTATTAGGTCTTAGCTGTAGTCACTACAGAGTAGTATCAGTCTCAGAAACACTGCAGATGAGGTCAAGAAGAGGCAGTTTATTTTGCACTCTTTGGCCTCCACCATGGTCTGGCAACATCCCATCCTTTAAGCTCATAGGTAAGAGGTGTAAGAACACTTATGAAGAAGCAGAAAAACACAGCCAAGTGATCCAGATGGAAAAAGTCTAAAATTACTGTGGCCCAGGCAGAGCCTTGCCAGATGATCTCTTCCCAAACTTCTCAGATGTAAATTCTTCCCTGATTCAGCCACCAAGTCCTCCATTCCTTCCATTTGGGACTCAAAACTTCCACCAAAAATGTGTGCACATATGAGCTTGGCCTAGGGCTCACAACCAGAAATACCTCTCTGCTTGCTGCTGCCAGGCAGCTGTGTGCATGGCCCAGAAACCAGACTTTCATTATAAAATGTGTTTTTCTGTGTGTACCAGGCAAAAGATGCTCAACATCCAAATCACTGCTTTACTGTGTGGCAGTCACAGTGATGCCACCTCTGCTGTTCCCATGTTGCCCTCCTCTCATCCAGGACTCTAACCTTTTTCATGTTTGAGTATCATAAGTCAAGGCCAAAGTCCATCAAGGCCTCTGCTCTCCTTTTCTCAAGTACAGAGCAGGGCTCATAATTTGAGTCTTGAGAATTGATAGTTGTCTCTTAATGGTTGAGGTGACGAACACTAATAGCAGTGAAGGTCCCAGGAAAGCATAAAAGTCAGAGGCTGTCCCAAGGGGGGAATTTTAGGGGCAGAGATGTTTGTTGATCTTTCACTCTGCAAATTGGTCCAAGAACTTGAGGTACGCCTGGCGCTGGGGTGCAGCCGCTGGAATGAAGTGGCCACCAGAGTGGGTGAGAGTGATGGCTCCAGGGAATCGTCCAGCTAGTTGCATGCTCTCCTGAGAAGGGATGACTTGGTCAGTGTCCCCGAAAACATGAAGTGAAGGCAGTAATAAGGGGCCCCGCAGGATGGGTTCCTTGAGCCCAAGGCCCCGGGGACAGAAACCAGATACCAGGATGATAAACCGCATCAAAGGGAAGCGAGGATCCCCAGCCTGGCCCAGGGCACACACAAGGGCTGCCAGCGCAGCTCCTTGGCTAAAGCCAAGGAGCCCATCAAAAGGCCCTAGCTTGTTCAATGCCTGTGCTACTGTTCCCAGGGCTTCTTCCAGGCCCCTGCACACTGAGGGCTCTTCCAGTGCGGAGAAGACATCTGCCTCTTGCTCTGAAAACCACCAGCCTCGAGGCTGCTCCTCCGGAGGGCAGAACCCTATAGCAATATGGAGGAAAAGATGAGATTAGGGCAAGGGGAACTCCAGGGAGGAAAGAAATGAGAAAAGGAGGGTTTGGGATGACAGGAAAAGAGAGGGGATTGAGGGGACAAAGTCTGGGGGAAATGAGGTGGGGAATGGATTGGCCTGACTTGGAGACGGACACAGGAGGAAGACGAAGGTGGAAGCCTAGGTGCGAGCAAGAGGGACTGGGATGGGAGAAATGAAGGGTGAGGGCTAGGTGGAAGGAATGAGGGGAGGACACGGGGTGGGGGTATGCTGAGGAGTGTTAAGAGGGCGAAGCGAGAAGATACTGTGTTGCCGAAGCAGGCTCGTCTCACCGGAGTCTGACCCGGCGCCCTTGGGGCCCGCTGCGTCGGGGACCCGGTGCGGCCCGCTGAGGCACACGAGCTCCGCGCGGCCCCGCAGCGCCTTCCTTAACGCTCCGGTCTTCTCGCGGAAGCCCCGTTCGCTCTGCCGGAAGCCCGCCAGGCACAAGACCCTCAAAGGCCGCCGCGCGGCCATAATACCCGACCAGGCGCTACCGGAAACGGCCTTTCCCCGAGCGGAAGTAGAATACGCAAAGGAGGAATCAAACGTCGTTACCACCCCTAAGGCGGGCCTCAGAGCGCGAGGGCGTTCCCATATCCGCTGGGAGGGGTGAGGCGCAAGCAGAGCAGGGGCGAATACAGTACCGGTGACTATGGAGCGTCTCCCGGAACAAGGGTCGCCACCTTCTCATTTTTGCAGCTGCAGTCCTCACAAGACACAGCTGGAGGGTGCTGCGTGGACCTCTCCGGCACCTGAGGTCGCAGACTTTGGTCAGGGTCTTGCTCCTGCGACATCCTCCACTCCGGTCCATTTCCCATCGTGGCCGCCGGGCGGCGGCCTTGGCTTGTGTCACCAGGGAGGAACCAGTGCTAAGGCCGCAGCGCTAAGGGACTGTCTCTCCTCCCTCCCAGAAGTCCCCGCCTACCTTCTCTAGAGCAGGTCGACCAGGGGGCTGGGGGCGTCGGTTCCACCCGTGGTTCACGGTCCACGGCCCCAAGGAGCTGCCGGCGTAGAAGTCCATCGGGTAGGGCTGCTGCCAGGAAATGTCCCTTAGGGCCACAGCCGCCTAGGGGAGGAAAACCGGACAATAACATTTGTCAACATTTTTCTGCTCATGGATTATTGAATTCAGTCCTCACAACGGCCTATAAAGGGTGTATTATCCCCACACCACATAAGGGAAATGTGTGTTTCAGAGAAGTTAAGGGACTTGCCTAAGGCCACACAGCTAGGAAATGGCTCAGCTGGGGGGTTCAAGACAGTCTGACTTCGGAACCCATGAGCATAACTAAATGCTGCCTACCCACCCACTCCACTTCAGATCTCTCCCTTGAAAGCCCACTCTCCCAGAGATTTTCAAAACTTGGTGCTACCTCATAGGGTGTCAGCAGCGGCTTGGCGAAGGCTGTGCCCCAGTCAATGGAGAGACGTGGACATGCCACTTGCACCCACCTGGGAAGGGAATCCAGGTCAGACCCTCAGTGGGGTCTCCCCCTCTCCTAGGCAGCATGCTGAAGAACATGACAGTGTCCCCAGCATACCCATTAGGATTTATTAATCCTGAAGTAAAGACTGTCTACTGCTGTTTACAATACTACATTGTTGCTTATTTTTTCCTGTTTCCTCCACTAACTCAGCTTTCTAGGGCAGCTTACTGGTGATGGTATCCCCAGAACCAAATTTAGTGCCTGGTACAGTGCAGGTGTCAACCACACCTCAAACTCATCTTACAAGAACTGTGATGTTGCCATTGCTTCTGAGCCCCAAAGCTAGACAAAGCAGGTATGACTCATAGCCAAGGGCAACCCCTGCTGGATAATGCTCTGTAAACATTAAAATTTCATGATCATGAAACAATTCTCAATGATTCCAGCCTTCAGTATGTGCTGGACAGGTCTCAGTTTCTGAGCTACTTTTAGCTGGAGTCTCTAGTTAGGTGGGGAAACTTACACATCCACCTCAGGAAGCAGGCTAAGCTTGCTGGGGAAGATCTCAGAGAGCAGCAGCCTTACAAAGGGAAGTCCCAAGGCTCGGAGTCGAGACTCCAGGTGCTGTTGCGAGAGGGAGGCAGAGCTGGGGTCACCATACAGGCAGCCAAAGCTAAATCCTTTGGCCTACTGATTTTCCCAGCTGGGTTTCTGCCAGTTCCCTCCTCCAGAGGTTGTCCTGAACCTTCTGACCTCCAGGATCTTGGGACTGCCCTGGCGGCCCAAAGTGCCCAGAATAAGGCCCCAGGATTTAGCTGAGCAAGCAGTGGCTATGGCTTCTTGGCGGGCAGCCTGCATGCGCTTGTGGTCATAGTGCTCTCTGGACAGGACTTTGCTGTACGGGTCGTACCTGGAAAAGAAGATTTCAAGGTTACTGGGACAGTCTCTCAGGACTCCTACTATATATACATGGCTCCTGACTCAGTCCCTTGGGATCCCGAAATTTCAGGCCCTATGCAGGTAATTAGGAACAGAAACAAGAGCAGGGATTGCCACTGGAAGATCAGTCCCATAGCTGGAGCAGATGAGAGTTGGGGATGGTTTTAGGATCTCAGTGTAAATCCCAGGAGATGGGTGGATAAGAGCAGTCCTGGGTCTAATGCCCAGACCCAGCACCTGAGTGCTTCAGATCTTTAGGGCTAGGGGCCGTTTAGTGGTCAGGGAATGAGGCTGCAGCCTTTTGAGAGCCTCAGGGGTAGGAAATCTCACACCTCACCAGCTGGGCAGCCCAGCCCAGAGCATACCGGTAAGCAGGGATATTGGGGTTGGCAATCATGACAGACTCCAGATGGAAGCGGCCATCTCCAAGATACCTGCAGGGCATGGAAAGGAGGCCATTAGTGTGGTGAAGGGCAGCAGAAGAGGCCTTCATGGCTTAGAAGTCCAGAGACCTGAGTTCTCAGCTGGCTGTGCTGCTGACTCTGTCAACTGGGACAAGCCATCATTTCACCTCTTGGGCCCTAGGTTTTCTCACGTGTAAAATAAGGAGTTTGAATTGGATGACTGTAAGGTCCCTCTGGTTTTATAATGCAGAATCTAAGAACTGCAATCCCTCTGCCTTATGGGGGAAGAGTAAAGGAGCAGCCAAGGCCATGGTAAGGCTCTTAGAGAACCTAACTTGGAAGGTTGGGAACAGATTCTCCCTTACTAAGCTCAATACAGACATAGGAAGTAGTGTTCAGGGTGTCGTAGATACCGTAAACGAGCCTGCAGGGTATACACTGGCTCTTCTCTGCCCAAACTAGCTCTTGGGTCCAGTTACTGCGTTATAACAACAGCTACTGTTTATTGGATTTGTGCCTTCTATGTGCTAGGCCTGGTCTGAGTACCTGAGGGGAATGAGTTTACTCAGTCCTATCTAATAATCCTCCAATGCACTTATAATATCTTTATTTCAGAAGAAATACAACTGAGGCTCAGGGCTGTTAAGAAACTTGTCCAAAGTTATGCAGCTGTTAAGCAATGTATCAAAACCTAACCACCAGGCTGCACAAGCAGGCTCTAGGAGATGCTTGTCCCAGCAATACCTTCCCAGGCCATGAAGATTCCAGAACAGGAAAATAATCTGCCCATGGTAGTAGCTCCTTCTCCCTTGGAGACCACACTTCATTCTGATGAATGGCCAATGCTCAGGGTGTCCCTCCCTCCAACACACAACTTGAAGCCCCCAAGGGTAAACATCTATGAGCTCAGAGCAGTGCAGGCACAGGCACAGGGAGGATGCTCTTCAGGGAGCAGGGTTGCCAGATCTGGGCTGGGAAGACCCTGATGTGGGCCTGCCTAGGGACAGGGGTGTTCTTTGCGGGTGCAGCAAGGCCTGTGGGACCAGCATCTGAAACCCGAGAGGTAGGAGTGAGTCACAGAGTGCCTCTCCTTTCCTCCCTCCCTACCATTAGCTAGGAATGGGGCTCCCTTCCTCAGTCCCAGCCGGGGGAGCTGTTGGCTCTGAGGCTGGCTGCATTCACACAACATTAAGCATTTCCATTACCTAAAATAATTAGGCGGCAGGAGACACGCTGCTTCTGCTTGTTAGCTGTCCGGATGCTAAATTAATGGGGCTGCAGCCTGGGCGTGCCCATCCATCTTCTCCAATTATATCCCCGCCATTTCTAGCCCACCCTCATCCCCCATCAGGCCCTCCAATTCCTGCTCCCACCCCGGGTACAGCCTTCTGGATGGTGGACTGAGCACTGGAGAAAGAGACAGTAACCTGAGGTCTATTCCCTATTTGGTCCCCACCTTCCAGCGTGACCTTGGAAAAGAGGTAAGGAGCTTTCGACTCAATTTCTTTCCTGTATGATGAACCTCAGGCTCCCTCCCAGGATACATGCCTACGTCTCTAGGACTTGGCCCCATTTTCAACTTACACAACAGCCTCCACCTCTTTGGGCAGTCGCGGGGATGTGCAGCCCAGAATCTCCCCCGGGGACAGGGGCTTGCACTGTGGGACACTCACATGATACTCAGCTTTCAGCTCCTGGGCAGCTGCCTGCAGGGATAATGAAGGAAGGGATGCAAGTGGCTGGGGAAAAAGAGCCAGGGCCAGAGGAACAGCCCGGAGCACCTGGCATGGAGACCCAGGAGCACCTGGAGAGTGAACCCCGTCTGCCCCACGGGATGCTGAGGATCCTCATGCTACCTACCTGCAAGGTTGACACAAACTGAATGGTGCTGACCAGGGCAAGGGCACTGGCTGGGGGAAAGGTGAGGCGGATAGAGTCCAGTAGGTGGGTAGTGTCTATCCGGATGTCCACAAAAACGTACAGCACCCGGAAGTCTTGGGCTGAGGTGTCCATGGGAACTGGGGAAGAGTTCAGGAGGCTTTGTTTTGGGAGGCAAGAGGAGCAGAGGGCCTGGCCCAGGCTGAGGTCTCTGAGTAGCCAGGACCAGGGACTTCAGCCTGGGGGCAGAATGAGGAGGTAGGGGAGGAAGGGGTCACGGGTCCCTTAGAAGCTCCTGGTCAGGCTTCTCTGTCACTCAGCCGGGGACCCAGCCTGCTCTACCACCAACAGCCTTTCAAATACCCGCATCTGGGACAGAGCACAGTTTCCAAGGCAACCAGATCCAAAGGAAAGATTCACCTGCGGAGCAGAAAGGCTGAGGCCATCCCAGAAACCAGGAGGAACCTCGTGCCTGCAAGCAGGACAAGGTACTATGATGGAGATAAGCATGCTGCCTGCCTTCCTGCCCCCCTGCCATGGTCCAGACGTCCTGGCCTGTCATACCCAGGCAGCTGTGGCCATAGTGCACCAAGAAGTCAGCTCCCAGGGCCCTTGCAGTAAAGTCATCCACACAGCAAGCTCCGTAGGTCACGTCACCCATCACCATCACTTCGGCTTCTGTGAACCTGTGGGTGTGGGGGTGAGGAACAATGGGACAGTGACACAAGGAGTGAGGTGAAAGAAACCTGACCTGTGGGGGTGTCTCAGGGCCCAACTCCTCTCTCCCTACCTCTCGCAATTCCTTGGGTTGGTAGCTGCCACTTCTGCCAACAAAGAGTAGGAGGGGCACAGCTGCCACCTCCCTCAGCCCTGGCAGCAGCTCCTGGAACTGCTGCTGCATGAGGATCCTGATTCCTCTGCCCAGGCTCACACTGCAGGATGGACCCCAACCCTCAGCCTGGCACACATGGGGTCAGACACAGACCTCTGATGCCCTGACTCATCCCACCCAGAGCAACGAGCATACACCACAGGCAAAGGCACCCACTCCCATGCCCTAGCACTGTGGTGTTTGTGGGCATGGATGTCTGGATACACACAGCCTCCCCAACACCCAGACCCACTGTCTCCTCCCTCACAGGCAGGGCCCATGGTGCCCAGGATGGGGGGACCCATGCACAGCTCCCCCACAGCACATGGCACCACCTACACGCCTCATGCGTCAGGAAGAGTGGGCTTTGGCCAGCACATTGCCATGGGATCTGCTGCCAGGCCTGAATCACTGGGGGACGGGGGTGGTTGGGGAAGACCCCGCACTCCTGAACTTGCCACAGAAAAGGAGCAGGAGGACCGGCCCTTCCTTGAAAGAGACCCTCACCTGGTGCATGGAGCCTGGCTCAGGGACTGGGGCCCCCATCCTTCACCTGGAGGCGTGCTGGGGAAGCTGAGCGGCTGCCAGCCAGCCCCCTCCTCCACCCCCTTCCCCAAATCAGGCTGTGCACAGAAGCAGATTATTCAGCTCCTTAGAATGCAGCCCAGGCGTCTGAGTCAGCCAGAGCACTTAATTTTTTATAGATTAAAATGTATGCAAATTGGCCTGAGCCCCAGAGAGCATCCCCAAGGGGCAAGAGGGTGGGAGCAGGAGAGTGAGTCTGTGGCAGCAGAATGGGAGAGCAGGGGAGGGGGGAGGGCAGCAGCAGGGAAGTGGGAGGTTCCCAGCACGAGATGACCTCCCCTTTCTTCATTCTCCCTCCCTGTTCCAGTGCTGGTTCCAGATGGCTGAGCACCCCCCCCAACGATGGCTCATTATATTGAAGAAACTTAGAATGATGGGGGCAGAGGAACGGAATGCCTTCTCCTAGGCACCTCTCTCTCCCCCAGCCAAACCCATCCTTGCCCAAACATGCCAGAGAAAACGGTACCCCCAGGCAGACCCCTCACTGACCACTCAGCCCATTTCAGGCTGAGCTCTGAGAATTCTTAGGTTTCTTCCCAGGGCCTACCACCTGCTCTGGGCTTAGCTTTGAGATACTGGAATGGACTTTTTCCTTCTCCCAAATTTTTGTTTTTGTTTTGTTTCTTTATTTTAAAGATATGGGATATAATTTATGATTACGTATACAAATGGACATCGTACAGGTAAAGTTTGGGCCTCCCTTTGGTCCATACTTTGCCTGGTTTGAGATCAGGTACCCTTATTGATGTTGTGTCCCTCTCCCTCCTCCCAAAGTTTTGAGGGAGGGGAGATTTACATTGACAAGCAGAGATCTCAGCAAGCTGGGAGTTTTGTTTTGGGTTTTTCCCTTAATATGTGAATGGCTGTGGGAGGAAAAAGGGAAGGCAGAGGTCCAGAAGGAAAAACTATCTGCTGATAGGCAGGACTGTGAACATGAGGAGGGTCTGTCTCAGCTTCCTCTCTGGTGCCCCAAGCCTCACCTTTCCAAGATATCCACAATGGTGCAGGCAAAGAGGAGGAGGCCTTCAGGCATTTGCAAGGCCACTGCAAGACAGAGCAGACATGAGAGGTGGAAGGCTAGGAAGACGCAGTGATGGGAACACTGCCCCTGAATGGGCCAGGCAACCTCTCCACCCCCACCCCAGCTCAATGTTTAAGGGCTCACCCTTCTTGGCCTGGGCTTGTTGGATCCTCCAGATGGTCTTGGGGATCTCAAAGTTGTAGTTGGAGGGCAGGACCCAAATAGCTGTCTGCAGCTGGGGATTGTTCAGGATCTCGGGGGGGACCTGATTGGCCAAGCGGCCCCTATAGGCCCGACCTAGGAAAAATATAAGGCCTGAATTGGTGTCTGGCCTTGACCACAGCCAGACTGAGATGGAACAGGGCCCCCTTTTGGGGCCTGCCACCCCACCCCAAGCATAGAAATAGAGATAAAATTTCGAGTTCAAGAAAAATTCCAGGCACCTAGCTAGCCCTTCAGCCAGCAATTAGGGAAGTAGTAAATAACTCACTAAACAAGAAGATAATAATAGCTGGGCATGGTGACTCACATCTGTATTCCCAGCACTTAGGGAGGCCAAGGCGGGAGGATTGCTTGAACCCAGGAGTTCAAGACCAGTCTGGACAACATAGCAAGACCTTGTCTCTACAAAAATTCAAAGCTAAACAAATAAAACATAATAAATAAATGAAGAAGATAGTATAACTTGAACAACAGTCACCTAAGTAAGTGAGAGTCACAGATGTTTGGTTCCTTATAAAAACTAAAGCTAGGCCGGGTTCGGTGGCTCAGCCTGTAATCCCAGCACTTTGGGAGGCCGAGGCAAGTGGATTGCCTGAACCCGCGGGTTTGAGACCAGCCTAGGCAGCTTGGCGAGACCTCATCTCTACAATAATCAAAGTCAAAAATTAGCCAGGCTGGTGTGGTAGTGCGCACCTGTAGCTCCAGGTACTTGGAGGGCTGAGGTGGAAGGTTCCCCAGAGCCCAGCAGGTTGATGTTGGGGTGGCCGTGAGTATGCCACCACCCTCCAACCTAGGCGACAGAGTGAGATGCCAACTCAAAAACAAAACAAAACAAAAAAAAACAACTAAAGCTAACACCTTGACATATGTCCTTAAGTTGTTTTTCAGAAACCAGAACCCCCACCAGATAAAAATGCATGTGGTCATGTAGACCTTAGACTGAAACCAGAAAATAGATTTAAAAGTTCCTGAAGGCTGGACATGGTGGCTCAAGCCTGTAATCCCAGCACTTTGGGAGGTAGAGGCAAGAGGATCTCCTGAGCCCAGGGGTTCGAGATCAGCCTGGGCAGCTTGGCAAGACTTCATCTCTACGATAAATCAAAAAAATTAGCCAGGAGTGGTGGCGCATGCCTGTGGTTCCAGCTACTTGGAAGGCTGAGCAGAAGGATCACCTGAGTCCAGCAGGTTGCGGTTGCAGTGACTGTGAGTGTGCCACTGCACTCCAGCCTGGGCATCAGAGTGAGACTCTGACTAAAAAAATAGATAAACAAACAAACAAATAAATAAAGTTCCAGAAATTTCCCTGCCCTTAACACATTTTAGAGACTCCCCCACCCCCGACCCTTTACCTCTACCTTTAAAAACCATTATTTGTAGCTGGGCTCAGTGGCTCAGCCTGTAATTCCAGCACTTTGGGAGGCCAAGGAGAGTGGATTGCCTGAGCTTGCGGGTTCGAGACCAGTGTGGGCAACTTGGTGAGACCTCATCTCTACAATAAAAAATTAGCTGGAGCCTGGCTCGGTGGCTCAGCCTGTAATCTCGCGCTTTGGGAGGCTGAGGTGAATGGTTTGCCTGAGCCCACGTGTTCGAGACCCGCCTGGGCAACTTGGCGAGATCTCATCTCTACAATAAATCAAAAAATTAGCCGGGCGTGGTAGCGTGCGCCTGTAGTTCCAG